GGTTTTGTTTCATGATAGCATCACAGCCGCACACTTCAACATTCTCATTAAGACTAAAGAGCCTGCCTGTTTGAAACCTGATTATCCTGTTCACTTTTACTGTCTGCTATTTACTTACAAACTACCGACACGAGCAAACGAGGTGAGATCAGCCTTTTGCTCCAAAGCTCAGGTTGCAAAGCAAAAGCTGACCCACCGCATGTCTCATCAGCGTGGGGAGTCTGGGCGTCTGAGTGTGGAAAAAAACAACACCACAACATAAACATAAATTACAGAGAGAATGCTTGGTTTTACTGGGGAAAAACACGGTAAAAAGGACCACATGGGACCAAAATAATATTTTAGATGGGTCTTAAGGTACCTTTTAGAACGCATATTGCATTTGTGGACAAAAAATGCCTTTTATGCTGCTTACCCCGGTAGTGGTTAGCGATATTTTTGTATGCTGCCTACAATCCTAATTCTTAACACTGCTTTCATAGCATGTAAATTAAAAAGCAGAAGCCTTTATTTCCCTTTTTGCTCTTACTTCAGCGATCATACGATTGGTGTCACCAAGGAAGAGTAGATTTAGAGCCTCCTCCTCATTCACTGACTGCTGCAGGGACAGGTTCCTCAGATGGATGTTTTGGTCTTGATCCTCCATAATCATTACTTTTCTGAAAAAACAGAAAAAGAATCTTTAATGGGGAGAATTATCAAAGACAAATGACCAGAAATCAGACAAAACCCCCAATCATTCCAAGCAAAGCAATTACAAAAAAAGAATTATCTGAGTTATGTCATCCATTTCCCTCTCTTCACCAGGCGTCGCTCAGCTCTGAATCCAAACAAACCACACATGCATGTCAGTGTGGGCTGCGACCCACTTTGTGCTTTATCTATCTGGGAGTTCATGATTTGATAACAGACAGGGCTTGCTTTTAAAAACAAACAGGTGATTGGTTCTTGCCCACATCAGGCACCCTTTGAAATACGGTGCACTTAAGGAACCCCTGTGATCTCACCACATTATTTCCATCCCGCCACAGGGGCTGTGACACTATGGCTACTAGACTGACATGTCAAAGAGGGTGGAATGATACGCGAACACATGCAGACAATTATACTAACATGTGTAGGCAATTGAGGTGGTTTGATAAAACAGAATTAATCTTAATGTGATTAAAAGCTGTGGCCTGGCAGGGTTGTTTTCCTAAACAGCCACGCCAACCCGAAATATAAATGTTTATTGTATTTTTACAAAAACCGAGAATGGATTAAGGTAATTTGCAGACTTCTGGCATCGAGAGGGCGGAAAACTGAGTATGTGATGGAAATAATAAATAAAGAAGAGAATGGGGTACTGTAGGCAGTGAAAGAGAGACATCAGTCAGTGCCACAGCTTCTCCTTGAATCAGCAAGTGTGGCCAGAGCACAGTTAACGACGGGCACTGTCTATTTCCAGAAGACTGTGATTTGTGGGTATCTAAACCTTGAGCTGGATTCTCTGTGAATGGAGAGGAGAAACCTAAATCGAGCAAGTACATGAAAATACTGGATAACACTCTCAGAAACAGAGGTGACAGTAAAAGTCTATTTTTGCCTCTACATGGGTATAACCTAATTACTTAACTTTTCTGAGAAAAAAGGAACATGCAGGAACACATTTGCCTTGATTCTTCTAGATTTTAAGTTGCAAAAGCACAAGACCGACTGTTTTCAGTCTAAGGTAGCAAAAAATAATAGTTTTGCCGTAAGTTGCATGAAATATAATTTAAAGTAAAATGTAAGTTACATACATAAACCCTGTGAAATCAGCTGCTCTGCTGAACCATTACTGCAGCCATCCTCAGTTACCTGTTGTATGTGGATCTTTCTGCATTCGGTTTTTAAACTGAAAAGCATGCTCTACTGGGTTAACATCAGGTGATTGTCTTGGCCTTTGAGTAGCATCACATTTCTTTGCCTTGAGAAACTCTTGGGTAGCTTCTCTACTTTGCTTTGGACCATTATCTATTTGCACTGTCCAATCAGATTGCAGCATTTGGCTGAATCTGAGAAGAGCATAGACCTGTACACTTCAGAATCCATCCTGCTACTTCTATCAGCAGTCACATCATCAATAAACACTCCGCTGCATTGGCATGCCAGTGCCATAATATTGCCTCCACCATGTGTGATAGATGATATGGAATGCTTTGGATCACGAGTTGTTTCTTTCCGTCTCCGTACTTTTATTGTACCGTCATTCCCATTTAAATTCCTATTTAAATTCTTCAGTAAAAACAATAGAAAGCACCCAAGGTACCAATGCCCGCTTTTGTAACTGTCATGGACACTTAATTGGTACAATTTTCTACTGAATCTAGGATATATCCCATCATACCAAATGTCATAGAAAGACTGTTATAAACAGCTATGACAACGAGAACATGAAACTGAATAGGAACATGTGAAACATGGACGTGAAGTAAACTAAACCTGACATGAACATGAACAGTAGAAAGCAAGACTCTGTAAACTGACAAGAATTGACATGAAGTAAACAGACGACCCAACAATGAACAGAGGAAGACAGAGGACTTAGATACACAGAAGGATAATGAGGGAAGTGGACACACCTGGGGAGACAACTCTGACACAAATGAACAAGATGCCACAGAGGAAGCAAAACTAAACACACTGAACATGGAAACAGAATACTTTCAAAAAAAAGAGGAAACATGGAGAGACATGAACTGGGAGGTGCAAGCTTGACACAAGAGACAGAGAGAGGGAGCGAGAGAGGGACACAGAGGAGAGAAAATACAAACAATAGAGAGAATACTGGGTCGCAGACCTAGTCCCCTGACTATGTGCTTCAATTTACATGGAATGAGCCAGGTACAATATTGTCACAACTACTGATAAGTCCTATCATGGGTTCAATGGCAATACCTCAGAAGGTCCCACTAAAGGTAAAATAAAGTGAATGAATATAAATATTGTGTGTGACACAAACACAATAGGCAAAAAATTAAATGCACAGACCAGCGTCTAGACAGATGGAAATTAGGATTGCAAAGAAAGATGGAGGCAAAGTAAAAAAGAGGATCACGACGGAAAGGAACAAACAAACAAGAAAAAGGTTCTGAGTAAAGCAACAAAAGAGCCCATGAAATCCTGCAAACAAATGGCAGATGGACAAAAAAAGACCGGCTGCAATGACCAGCTTTGAAAAACTATTTATCCACATGACTCTTTTGCTCTCCTGCAGTCTGCCACCAGGTTGACCACATCCATTGCGGTCCCACAGCCTCATTATGTCAGCTGGCAGTTCATAGTGGGCTGCTAAACACTAGAGTCTCCATATTTCACCACACAATAACTGTGAGCCAGGCTGAGGTGGCTAAATTAAAGTTAAAATATACACCATATGACCCTAGTTGTTGACATGTGCAACCGCTTAAAAATAAGAAAATGGGCACTGACGGTAGGTCTTCCAGTCGAGATGCTTCATGTCGGGAATCCAGAAGGTCGTATCCCATCTCATTGTAGATCTCCAGATAAGAGATATGTGTGGTATAAACCATGCTGCTGTCCTGTGGAGCACCAATAAATCACATAAAAGACTTACATATTTTTGACATTTTTCTGAAGCTAATAATAATAATAATGGGTAAAAAGATGATTGTTATGTTCTGCACATAATCAACTGAAAAACAGGCAAATGAACAACAGTTTGCTGACCTGGCTGAACCGTTCATATAGGTAGGAAATGGTGCGAGGAATAATCCCACGATCGCTGTACCGCTCAGCCCCTCCTGTGATGGTAAAGGTCTTCCCGCTTCCCGTCTGGCCGTATGCAAAGATGGTGCCATTATAGCCAGCCAACACACTGCAAAGACACCCACATTATTAGCAAAGTTTTCGCAAATAATTCAAGCTAAAGTCAAAAAATAAAAGTACTACCATGTAAATGAGCCATTAAATATCTATCACTAATGCCATGTTTATACTTTTCAAGTTGTGCTTGACTCCTTTCTCTAAAAGTTGAAGGCACACAAATACATAAACACAGGTGACAAATTAAAGAAAGCTCCTTGGCATTGAATATATTCTTTCAAAACACATGATAGTGGTGGACAGTGCACCAATATCTCCCAATAGTTTCTTCATCTGATCAATATGAAGGCCATCATTCACATAAAGCTAAAACAGCTTTATCGAGTGAACTGAAGGGCCAAGTATAAGTTAAATGACAGTTGTCTCTTGAACTGTAAATCATGCAGAGTTGCTCTAGTAGAGTCTAGCCATAAAAATATATTTCTGAATGACCAGAATAGGTCCACTTTGAAGTCTGGAAACAAGTGGCACAAACCTGTGAACAATACTTTTTCATTTTTAAAGAAAACTGTAACTTAGCCCACCCTGTCCTGTCCCACTGACGTACTCTCACTTTTCCTTTATAAAGACCTCTGGAAGGAACAAGATCACACTTGGGGCTTGGTACCCAGTGCAGAACAGCAAAGTGAACTGGACTCAAATTTCTTGTCTGTGTGCACAACTTGGCCAAATGTGGATGTTTCTAATTCTGATGGCCTTAAATTTTTCAAATTTTAGTAAACTGAGGTTATTGTGTTCACTTCCAGATGTGGTTGTGTCGCGCCTCTCTTGGACCTGGGCCCTTTGCAGCTGTATATAATATCAGCAGTAGCGAACCTCAGTAATGCTCACAGTTATGCTCATCTTTTAACGGGTACACACAAACATGAGCACATTTACTCCATCCTAGCTTCCTGCCACTGGTTTCCCATAAATTTTAGGGCCCATTTTAAGTTTTATTATTTGTTTTTATAACTTTTAATAGATCAGCACCAACTTACATATGTAAGCTGCTGACTGCAAGAGTCCCATTGAGGTCGGTGAGGTCAGTGGACCAGCTGCTCCTTGCAGTCCCTGAAGCTTGACTCAAAACAAAAGGTAACTGAGTTTTTTCAGCCACAGAAGATCCCCTCATTTTTTGCTCCTTGCCTTTTAACTCAGAATGAGAGTGGTGTCTTCTTGCCTTTTGTTTCTTGTCATTTTCATTGCTTTGCTTTGCTGTTTTGGTCCTATAAATAAAACTGGATTTGGTTGGACTTCCCTAAATGTCACCAGTTCTTGCTCATACGCCTCCAATGACATCAGCATTTTAAATCTGAAAAAGACCATTGACTGTACTCTTCAGCAGACACCAGAGGCCTTTGTTAATTGAATGTGACACTTCAAATCCACAGGAACGGATGGCGACGGCGAGCAGAGAACTGCAATGGCGACAGATATCTGCCGGTGAAGGAGGAATGTGTTGGAGTGACAGAAAGAGCCCAAAACCACTCAGCTGTAGCAGGTCCGGTAAATTTTGGTTTGGCACAGAAATGTCCTTCTGCACGTGCTCAGGGCCATGGAAACCAATGGTATTCAGATCTGTCTGAATGAAATGAACATCTAAAAATGATAGAGCTCACATGAGACAAAATTTATAGGCAAAACAAATTTTGTGTCTTCTTGGAAATAAACCAGCTAGTAATGGTAAAATGACAGAGGGGCCTCTGACACGCGAGCTTGGATCAAAGGTGTGGGTATCCTGTGTGCTCCTGACTCTGCCAATAGCAAGGAAAAAGGATATCTTTACACTATATTTTTCGAGATGAATTATAAACGAACTTAAGCCTCGCACTTATTCTAATGGTGTAGGCGAGCCAAGGTTTGAGCAACGTGTGGGTTTCCTTCCCTGTGTTCCACACCCTGTATGAAAAGGGCGAGGGAAAAAACTGCATCTCAGTTAAAATAAAACACTGGGTCCACTTATGAGAACGGCGGTTGGTTGGTCAGCCAACGGGCGTCCATTTAATCTACTGTGAGTCATGGAAGTGATTGGCAGGCGTGGGGAAAAGACACTGGCTCAGTGTTTAGCTTAATGTCAGTACTAATGATGCGGCCTGGGCCCTGCCACTGAGGCTTGGGTGTTTCCCAATGCTTGTTCCTGTTTACACCTCAACTTTCCTGGAGATTGGAGAGTGATCGCTCAAAAGATCCTTGTTCTTTCTGTTGTTTAAATGCGAAGCTGTGTGTCCAACCTCTTCAGGTGCAAAGATAAAACTGAACAGACCCTAACTGAACTTCAGCAGCAGGTTTCACAGCCTTGTGAAATAGATTACTGTCCTGATAGAGGGTTTGACGTGTCAGCCCGACATCATTTCACTGGCTCGTCCCCTTGTGGAGCTATTAATGCTGGTTTGTTTTTAAACTACTGTGCTGGAGTTGAAATAACTGGTTCCAGTTACACCACAGCACAGACACAGACTTTAGTGCAAGTAAACGAGTTAGAGCTTTTGGCTAAACTTGAAGTGTGCCAAGTATGACAGAGCACCAACCAAAACAGCAACCTGACAGTTACTGCTAGCCGAGATGATAGGCAGCCGAGTTTTAGTGCAACAACAGCGAAACTGCTGCAAATTCCTGAATGAAACAGAATAAGTTCAGTAGATATGTAGTGCTTTTGCAGATCTAACTTATGTTCGTCACCACAACAGGTCACAAAGAGGGTCAGATCCCAACTCAATTCAGCCCAACTCCTTTTAAACAAACGATCACCGTTTCTTAAATACCATTCATCGTTTTAACCATGACTGTCAGCTTAATACCTTCATGTAGGTTAACTTCCTTTTCACTAGCGTTTCGCCTGTTTATCTCTTATATTTAGCTAAATATTTTGTTTGTGTCAAGGTCTGTGCTCTGTAAAGACCATGTGAAGGTTGAAGTGTGGACCCAAAAGCAGACACGCAAAAACAAAACTTGATTTCCACAAAGAGTGAGCTGTTTATTAGAAACTGGGAAGCAAAAAACAAACAAAAACAAAAAACGAAAGGCAGGAGAAAACAAACACAAAACTAACATGGGGGGACTTGAGCTTGACACATGACAAACAGACGACCAAACAAAGGGAAACTAACACAATATATACACAGAAGGTAATGAGGGAATGTGCAACAGGAGGGAAACACAGCTGGAACTAATCTGACGTAAGGAGACAGGAAGCAAAACTAAATACCCTAAACGCAGAACATGGGACTATCAAAATAAAACATCAACCACAACAAATATGGAGATGAGGACTTAACACTTAGGCCGGGGGAGAAACAGCCATGGGGACACGACTGACTGGGGACACAGAGAGGGAACAGTTACTACTACAGTCACTAGAGCAGGGCGATATGACCAAAAATATTTATCACGATATACATTTGAAAATTTGCGATAACGATATAACTGACGATATAATTGACACTAGACAAACTAGTTTACAACTCCACAACTTTATTAGTGCAAAAAAAAAATCAATGCATTTTCACTTAAACAAGCAGCTGTTTTTTATGTGCATTAAAGTTATATAAAAATGTAACAGTGCAAATGCAAATTCATATTGGGCGTACGTATCCTCAACATAACCATGTATAATATCCACAAAACTTAAAGAGGTTATACACACACAATACGATAATATTATGTTGAAGCACAGTACGTGTCACTCCGCGAGGCTCCTGCCTACGATAGCCGTAATGCTCCGACAATCCATCAAGCGGTGCGGGTTCGTAGCTTAGCAAAGTCGTACTAAAACATTTGACAGATTTTCGAGCGCCGTGTACGACATAAAATCGTTTCGAGGTCAGTAAACACAACCAGAATTCATACATAAGGCACACAGGATTATAAGGGGCACTCTTGATTTTCAGAAAAATCAAAGGATTGATTTTAAGTGTATTTTCCAAAAAACACGGTAATAACGATCGCCCGCTAGCACGCTCTACCAAAAATAGTGCTTTGTTGTGTATCTGACGGATGAAAGCCAAACCAGTTCCACACCACTGAAGTTGCAGCATTTTTACAACCAATTCTGGTTCATCTATTTCATTCAACGATCTGCTTTCACCCTTCTCATTCTCCGCCATGCTTTTTCCGCCATGTGCATACGAAAACAAAGGCACTGCGCATGCGCTTTTTACCCATACTCTATCGCGATATTTCATTTTCTTATTGTTGCCCAACATTATACCGGTATTACTGTGAATGGTATGATATGGCCCAGTCCTAACAGTCACAGTAAAAAAAAAAAAAGGTACCCTTTTCAATTCTAAGATATTTTCAGGTCTGTTCAGATGGAACTTTGCGAACCTAAACCTGCCATGTTCTTTTTAGAGAAAAGATGCTTTCTCCCTTCCAAACAACACATGCTTGTTCAGTGTTGTTCAGTGTGCTTCCATGAACTTTAACATTCAACTAACTGATACCTGTACAGTCTGAGTCAGCTTTGTGCGGTTTGTCTAAGCAAAACAAGAAGCTGAGCCTGGGGTTGTCCAGTGTCTTGATTGTTTTCCACTTGTGAATAATCTTTCTCACTGTAGAATGATAGACTTTAGAAATGGCATTATAACCTTTCCGAGACTGATGTGCAGCAGCATTTTTCTGAAGCCTGCATTACTCATTATGTTTACTGGACACATGTTTTTACTCACATGCAATGTGTTTGTAATGTGCTTGTGCACTAGATGCTCACATGCTGCTCAGACATACTTTTATGTACGTCTGAGTTGATGTTAGATGATTCATATTAGCAACCATTGCTTGGCCTTCATGCATTCATTATGCTGCTGTTTATGTTGTGTTTTCAAGAAGTTGAAGTTAGTTGTGTTCCTTTGGAAATCAGACAGAACTTTACAGCACTCAGCCTATGTTGTGTTCTTGATTTCCAATTAACAGACCTTGATGTGTTTTCAGGGACAACCTCATCGCCTGCTGGCTTGCTAGACATTTGACTTTTCTTTTGATGGTCTGATATCTGTTGTATTAAGCATAGTGTTACTCTTCCAGATCCAGAAAATGTCAAGCTTCACAAGAGCTGTGACTGAGATAGACAGGCACGTTGTCAGGCGGTAATTGGGGGAGCACTTAATTTGTTTTTGGTTTGAATTTTATTGGTGAGACACACATTTTGATTATTTTTTAATAATTTAATTGTGGTAGATTAAAATTGTAATTGAGTTTTAATAATTGTGCAAACTTATTTTGCACTGTTGTCTGGACTGATTAATGACATTGACTTTACTTTCTCTGGTCGTTGGTTTCCACATCATTGCTAGCTTCCTGGGTAGATGGCCTTTGTCTATTAACATTACCATTTAGCTCAGTGGGTGAGCAGACGACCACATGCTGAATGGCTAAAAAGCAGCTGCCTGGGTTCAAGTCTGACAGCTAAGCAATAACTAGTTGGAATAAAGCCATGTCTTCACATTAAGTTACTAATGTAAAGATACTGCATTTCCCTGCTAGTTTTTAAACAAAGCCCTTACTGTCTTGCTTTTTTAATAAACATCTGTATGTTTACATATATGGAAAGAATACTGACTGATAGACTGAGATGAATCTTTGTGTTTTTTTGCATACTTGTAAAAGCCAGCAAGTCACATTAGCTGGGAAAAAAGTTTTTAAATCTCTTTTTGATGTTATTGATACAATTGTATGTCTCAGCAATCACTTAAATTGCCAACTGGTTCTCCACCTGGAGGGTCAACTTAACCCAAAATAACTGCCGAGGGGTGTTGCCAACATGAAGACACTTACAAATGGACTTCCTTGATATCAGATTAAAGACTAAACAACTAAAAGATGCTAACTTGAAACTGATACAGCAACACAAAGCCGGGCTGTGACTGCAACTTTTTAACTAGATTTTTACCATATGCAAGAACACAGAGGAAACTGTCGAAAGGTTGCGTGGGGAGAGCAACCTAATAACCTGCGTGAGTCAGGTCAAATGCATCCATATCCTTAGTCAACCAATCCAGACATCTGACTGTGCTGTTTATATGTCTGCTAATGGCAAAGATAATTCAAAGCACTTGTGGGAGTCCATAAATAGCTTCTATTGTGATTAAGACCAGTGATGGTAGGAACGAAACTGAGACAGGACAGGGTTCGACAAGGAGAGGAAGAATCTTGTTCACATAACAATAACAACAGCATAACTTGCATTTGATGACAGGAAATTCCAAGTAAATTCCATCTTGTGTGCTGTTTTTCTGTGTTGAATGTCAGAGCGGGCAGGGGGTAAAGCTCTGTAAGACACAGTGTGTATTTAGAGGAGTCTTAAAGAAGCAAGAAACTGCAGTTTATCACTGAGGTACCATTCTGCACTGTGGGAGATGACAAAATGGTCTATAAAGTCAACAAATAGGGTTATTTCATGAATGCATGATCATTTTTTAAATTAATGAGATAATCCTATTTTTTCCAGTTATTTCATTTTCATTGACTTCTATTCTATTTAGCTGTTTTTCTTCTTTTTTTATCGTAGTTACTTTATCTAAGCCTTAATACTTACTACTACTATCCATTAAAAAATGGTATCAAAGTACGTTTTTAAATACATGTTTTATTTTTTTTTACAAAAATACTCAATAACATTCATGTAGTAAGTGTCTCTTACTGTACACGTACATTGTCTGTGTACTACATAGTTTCACTATGTAGTACACAAATAACAACACATAAAAAATATTCAAATCAGACATGGGTTTATGTGTGTGTCTGAAAAAAGAATTCAGCTGATACTGTGTATCAGTCTTAAAAATCCTACACTGGCTGGGCTCTACTCTGTTCTGCTACTTCAGCTTTATTTTTAAGAAGTTATTGGAATGTATATTAGCTTACTGGATTAGCATTTGACCTCCACTTAAGGTAACCTTACTCTAGGTTGTTACAGGCTACACGATTTGAGTTTCCTTGGCTTCTAAAGTACCTGAGCCGGAAAAGGTAATTGCTAATTAATCCAAGGGAACTGAATAGTGCAGGTAAAATAATTAGCTCTGTTGATAAATGCCTTGTTCTATGAATGCTGTCTTCAATATTGGAGTCAAAATAAAAATGAATCAGCTACAGTTTACAGTGAAGCTCTGTACTGTGGCTTGAAAATGCTCTCACATTCATGATGGCACAGTGTGCCATCTTGCCTGCCAGTTCCATCCACTTAGTGGTTTAAGTATGCAAAGCATGCCAAAAATCACAGACACCCTTCATTTACATCTTAAGCCCTACTCACTTCCTGTCAACAAGGCCCTCTGAAGCATGTGTGGTCTCAGTGTGCAGAGAGGAACACTGCACAGGACAGGTGGACAGCGATGGCTGCGGTTTCGAAGTTAGCTGTATGCTATATACTGCATACTTGTACATCAGCGCAATGGTAAAATGACAACAAAGTTTACTTGGACACGATGAAGTTATGAATACCAGATAGATGCCAAGTTACAACTATCTAACTGCCCCCTTGTTGACCGCCATTGCAATATAAATGCTATATAGCTTTCCTTTGTACCATTAAGTGATTAACACCTAGTTCATACTCGCTACTGTCACTTTCACTACTAGGCTACCTTTTGTTTGTTGTTTTGGCATTGGGTTCACCCTGAAGTTATGATATGCTGCCTTCCTTTGTTTAACTGCACTCATTGTAAATAAATCACTGTCACAAAATATTAAGTGTGTGACGTGCTGCTTGGGGTTGGACGGGGATGGATCACCCTTTATGTTGTGGTCTGGCCGTGCCTAGACGGGCCATAACAGTCAGTTTTTTACCAGCGTTACAATGATTTCTCAGCACAGAGACACAGAAATTCTTGAGTAGAGTGACAGTGGCGCTACAACAGCTTGAAAAGATGACAATTAAAAAATTGATCCTTGCTGGCAATCAGCATTTTCATATGATTTTATAGCAATAGATAAGCAAGTTGTTGTAATGTAGCAACACTACAAATGATAAAATCATTTGAAAATGGTCAATTCAGCCAACTTTATCCATTCAAGGAAGTGTTTTGCTTTGTGAGATAACTTGAAATTTGTGTGTGTTAGCAGGCGATCTACTTTTGGTTAAGATTTGGTAAAAGAAAAACAGTGTGGGATTGGATTTGTTCCAAAAAAACAAACAATCCCTCCATGAAGTGAATATCCTGCTGATGTCTTCTCACTTACAGTGCCATTTTTTATTTTACGATCTGTAAATAACATAGCAAAATTATACATTAAAATAATTACCTAATGGACCCTTAACAACTTTCTTTAGAGTGCCACGTCCACTTAAAGTTTACCTGTCTGCAACTGGTTTGGCGATGTTTTCAAATATCTCTTCTTGTTTGGCGACCTGATCGAACACTTTCTGGAACCTGGAAAAAGGTGAGAGGTAAAAAAGGTGATACGGCCATGATAAACTTGGCATAACAGGTATTTAATCCACTGTTTAACCCCGAGTCTAATATAGGCAGAGTTGTGAAAAAACTATTTGTCTTCCTGAGTTCTAAGTAAGGGTTAGACAATTATCCAAACCTTTGTTAGATCATAAATTAACTCTGATTAATCACAGTTTTTGGGAAAGTTGAATTCAATTTCATTAACCACTCACAGGCCTGATTACTGCCCAACTTGTTGAATTAAGAAATCACTTTAATAGAAGTTGTCTGACAGTGAAGTAGGTTATCTATAAGTCGGAAGAAAACTTAAAACAGAGATGAACCTTCCCAGGATTGGCCCTCCTACCAAAATTACTCAAAATCAATGACTCACCCAGGTGGTCACAAAAGAACCCAGATCATTAATATAAGAACTGCAGGCCTCACTTGTCTGAGTTAAGGTCATGATTCAACAATAAGAAAGAGACTGTGCAAAAATGGCCTCCATGAAAAACTACTGCTGACCACAAAGGACACAAAGACTCGTCTCACATTTGCCAAAGCACATCCTGATGATCCCCGAGACTTTTGGAAAAACATTTTGTGGACTGACGAGACAAATGCCAAACCTTTTGTGCTGTTACTTCTGATGTAAAACGAACACACAATTTTATAAAAAGAACTGCTGCTTTGTTGCTTCTCGACGACTTGCCATAATTGGTGAAACCTTGAATTCCGTGCCCTGAAGCAAACAGGCACAGGTACATTCGGAGAGCTTTTTCTCTCTTAATAAATGAAACCAGCATTTTGTATATATACTGTTGACTAATATATATAAAAAAAATCTAAAATATGTAAATGTGACAACAGGAAAACAAACACAAGAAAGCAGGAACTTGTGCTGTATATGTTGCTGGTATATCTGGGGTCATGTACCCACAGCAGAACTGAATAAGCACAAAAAGCAGCAAGAATTTAGTTTCCTGAGTGGAAGAGGAGGAGTTTGGTCATTCTGTTTTCTAAAGTAGTCACAGCCCGTCATGTTTTATCCCACAGTAAGATGAGAGAGATGAAGCGAGGAATCCGCCCAGGAAGGTTGTTAAATGTGGAAATTTTATTTCTATAAGGGCACAAGGGAACCTCCACAGGCTATTATAAGACTGTGTGGTTTTCAAGGCTTCTGAGTGTCCAGTGCTGTCTGACTCCCCAACTGTGAATTTAGGGCTTGGAAGCGTGGCATGAGCCCTGCCCAGAGGGTATATAAGGCTGCAGCTTTCACTACCAGCATTAAACAGATGTTCTGGCTCTTCACTGACAGGACTGGGGGATGAATTATTCACGGGAAAGTTCTTGTGCAACATTAAGAGCTTAAATTCTGTGTGTTGTCTTTATTCACACGATCTATTTCAATTTCTTTTTTCTTGGACATTTTTAATGTCATGCCCTTATTTCAGACTGTAGCTAATTTGACTTTTCTTACAGACACAACCAAGCAGTAACGTCCACGTTTAAAAATGAAGCCACTGTGGAAATGACAAACTCTCCAGGTCTTCTAATATCCCCTTGAGGCTGAACCCCATAGACTCCAGTGTTAAATTGCCAGCGTTATAGCAGCAATAAACTCTCTTTGTCATAGCTTTAATGTTTGGTTTTTTTTTGTTATTTTCCATTGGGCTGCCTCTACCGATGGATCTGCATATTTGATTTGGTACAGATTTTAGGGTATTGAAAACGGGGGTCTTTACGGTAATGGGTTAACCACTGTAACATGCAGCCACTAGTTCTTTTAAAAAAAAATTATATAACTCTTAAAGCCCAAATTTGCAGTATTAGGAGCTAAAAGGTCAATATGACCATAGACTGCATATGAAAGAGTCATGTATGACTGACAAGTCGCTATTCTATGAGCACAAAGTGCGCCTATTTTTGCAAAGGGTGAGCAGATTCGCCCCTCCTTTGTCACATCCAGTTTCAAAGCACAAAGATAGGTGATGTCAGGGTGGCTACATTCATTTATTTTTTTTTTAGCTTGCTAAGCTTCAGCGAACTGACCTCTCAATTTGTGCTATTTGTGCTGGTTGTACCTTTTAATCCAATTACATGACAAATAACATGGGTTGCATTTGTTACTCAGGGCACACTTGGATTTTACTTATCACTAAGTAGCAGGATTCTGTGTCTATAAATGCAGCTTGCTAAACAAGCTATCTAGCTTTTGTTTGATAACTTAGCACTTCACCGATTCTTGTTCAAAGAAAGACCCTACAACAATACCATTTGATCTCTGGCTGTCACATACCTGAAGTTGTAGCACTCTCTCTTGTTGTTAACAAAGCCATCAGCCAGGTCCTTGGGCACAAAAAACTCCAGAGAGGAACCTGTCTGGTTCTCATTGTCCACAGAGTACACCTGAGGGAGCCAAAGACAACAACAGAGTCAGTTTTATATAGCAGAGGAAGGCCTAAAGACTTCTATATCATACCACAGGACTATGCAGACGGATTATAAGCACAGGCAGCTATGTTCCAGCTCAGTAGCCACACAGGAATTCGTAGTCTTCTATATGTTTCAGTGTGCATGCTGTTACGGTATGTGGAGCCATACATGCGGCCCAAGTTAAACACAAAGACAATATATCATGTTAGGTCTAAAATATACGTTTAGACGTTTTGTGGCTTGGGTACTGCGAGCCCTGAAAATAAAAGGGTGGAGTTTATGGCGCTCATATCCTGTGGAAACAAATAGAACTGAACAAGCAATCACGATCAGCGTATAGTGTTGGCAAGCCCTGCAAAATCACCTCTACTAACCGAAGCTGAAGCCAAAGCGAGGAGGCGAGGAAAAACGGCACAACATTAAACCAATATAGAGTATTGAAAGTGAGGTCAGTCAGGTCAGCCTAAACACTCCTACCATTTGCTTTTCAGCTTCAAGCTTCAACATATGTTCTGGCATATGTTTCCAATGGACACTGATGCAATTACAAGTCCCTGAGGTTGCAGGAATAAAAGATAAGACCTAAATAACTGGATTGTTTTTCACTGTCACTCCGCCTGCAGTACTGCCTCTTCCATGTGCCAAACCTCAAAAAGCCCCCAGGAGGTAGCTGTTCTCATTTCACTGTGGGTGCCACAGAAAACCTTAAAGAAATAGGCTTATTTGTTTCCACCAGCTGCTGTGCTCACACAATAAAACAAGGAGAAGAAAATGATTTTCCCAGGAGTGCAATGACTATCATTTCCTATTTTTTTAATTAGTTAAACATTTTCTGTTAATTTTTCTCTCTTTCTCTCTCTCGCACTATCTATCTATCTATCTATCTATCTATCTATCTATCTATCTATCTATCTATCTATCTATCTATCTATCTATCTATCTATCTATCTATCTATCTATCTCTCTATCTATCTATCTATCTATCTCTCTATCTATCTATCTATCTCTCTATCTATCTATATGTGTGGCATTCATCTCACAGCAGGTGTGTACTTTATTGCAAAATAACTCCAAGTGAGTTGGCTGATTATACCTTTTGGCTCATAATTTCATGTTTCATCATGCTGAGTCTGAAGCTCTCTGCAAAAAGATTATAAAGATATTACATCATTACTTAGAATGATTGTAATAATTAGTTTTTATACCCATACCAACTAGTGAGTTTTGTGGACTTGGAGAGGGCTTTCGAGGGTATCGTGCAGAGGGTATCAGTCTCTGTAATCTCAGGATCAACGACCTCCAGTTTGCACTGGGGCAGTTTGTTGTTTCAGTTATTTCTGTGCATTATGTTCACATCCATATTGTTATATAGCGCTGAACTAATCTAAACCACAAACTTTAGACATACTGTTTCATTAGTTCCAAATATTAAACATACAATATTTGGATATTCTGTTTCACAGCTAGAACTCCAATCACTGAATCCTCTTCTATTTGTTGTTTTTATTTAGTTGTTTATGCTGCAAGTCTAGTGTACGTGTTGTAGACTTTTATTGTGAAAGGCAAGACCAGGAAGAAGCCCTCTTGCACATGTATAGAACAAATAGGATTTCCGGTAGGAAGAGGGCTGCAACAGGCCCACAAGCTTCAGGTGTTTCTGCAACCTTTGCTATGAGGCCTCATATGCTCAGGGACTTCCATCAGGGCACCACCTGGTACTGTTCACCACCTGATAAAGGGTTGCTGAGGCCCTAGAGAGGCTGGTGTGGATGGCACAGCACAGCAGTGAGCGCACGCTGCCTGACCTGCACCCAGCTGTGCCTCAGGAAGTCACTGAGAGGCACAAAGGACTCAACTCATCCAAACAGCAGCCTGTTGTCCTCCCAGTGCCCTCCGGCAGGGGATTCAAGATCCATAAATCACATGGGAACAGAGTGATGATCGGTTTTATCCCCACCCCACAAGACTAGTCAATAAAAGACAAACACAAACATACACACAGACAAGTGCAACCTAACTTCTGGGTACTAATTCCTTTTATAAAACATAATCATTATTATATATTCATCTATTTTGTGAGAAAATCAAAAAAAACTTGTGTTTTCTTTATTAAATTTGACTAGTGAGTTCATGCAATTCAAGGTTATTATGGTGAACTAAAACTAAAAAGAAGTGTAAAAAACTTTCTGGTTCACTGCACCAGGAATACAAAAGTATTATCTTGAATAATTCATGATTTCACTGCTACTTTTACACTTCCAGAGGCATCCAGAGAGCCGAACTGGACCCTTTGGGCCTATTGCGGTGCCAGCTAGAAAGTTAAAACCAGCTCTAGTATTAAACAAGTTGTTTGAAACATAAAGATGTAAAAATCGTATTACTGTTGAAGTTTAGTGTCTTTCCTGCTGCGTTATCTGAATTGTAATGTGCATCTAATGTCAGCAGACTTAATGAATTCAAGAAACTGAAATATACTCTTGAAATTTAATCCACTGTTTTAAAAAGGGTTTTTGTGTGACTACACGTGGAAGCTTGATCAGTCTCTATACAGTAACAAAATCTTGTTTATGTTTTTTTAAACATTTTTAAAAAATAATAAATAAGGCCTTTTCCAGATTTCATTATACATAACAAATCAACATGTGGTTGATTTGTCCACGGTGCACAGTCTCATGTCTATAACAGTTTTTCTACTATCTTGCATCCAAAATTTTGAATTTCTTAACACTCAGCAGCTTCATAGATCTATATGTATGTAATTACACACACACAGTCCCTTTTGCCTTACATAGAGAAGATTAGACCTAAAGATAAAATACTATCTATTTTTACACCTGACAGAGGTGAACTGTTACACAGAGCATTTGAGTCATATCACTGGATTAAGGATTAAACTACTTCCCAAATATGTTACTAAACTTACCCAGCGAGTTTTTTCTTCTTTCTTTGTATCTATCCACCTTAGTGGCGTCTCTGATTTCCTTTAGTTTGCCTGCTGTGTGCAGTAACAACACTGTCGCTCAGTTGTTCTCCAGGTCTCTCAGACTGTTTTGTTTCTTTTCTGGTTCATTTATTGGACTCTACTCCACTAATATAAAAGTAATATATAGATTTAGGTTAGTGCAAAACAAGTGTAGTAGATAAGACTTGATGATCTAATGTAAGGCCTTGTTTAGGCAAAAGAATCTAGCACAGATATATTTATTGTTTATATCCAGAGTAGTGTTGGACTAAATGTTACTGTGAGGCACTTACCGCCACATTTTTCTTGGTGGGTTTAATGCGAGCGAATATCTGAATCGTCTCTTTCACCATTCCCCCCCCCCGGTAAAATGAAACTAAACCGGTTTGTTTTCCTCACAGCCAGATAGCTATCTGGCTAACGTTAGCATCACGGTCCTGCTGGCAGGAGTTTGTTGTATCTGGTTGCTAGGCAACTGTGTTCCGCCAACAAAGATCATTTGTTGATGTCAAGATGTCCCCTTGAAGTAAATTTCGCAGACTGGCAGTTTTAATTAATTTCACTTTGAAACAGTTTACATTTTTGAATCAGTAACACAATATATAATTCTTGGTCTTTTCAGATAGTTATACAGGAAGTGTAACCACAAAACAAAGAGTCAGGCGGCTAAGAATAGGTGTTATTGTAGCGCACAGTGTGGTGGATGAATATATTAGGTGGCACAGTCACAGGTAAAAACAAACAGGGATTCACAGCTGTACCATTTTGCTCTGATGCTTCTTATTCTCCTCTAAGAATGCATTTTGTATATACAAGACAAAAGGTCGGCGCAGGTTCAATGACTCATTCAGTGGGCATACTGACAGAATTGTATTCAGCACTGTTGGCACTCCCCACACATAAGGCCGACGGCTCTTAGTCACAATGCAAATAGGTGTGACCACAGTTGCCCAGTCTGGCAGTTATAGATTTATAAAGAGGAAATAGGAAGTAATCATAAAGCTGCATTGCAGTTTTTTACTTTACACATAAACAAAACATGACCAGAAGTAGCAGCAAATCATAGCATTTCCTTTGATCCACCACAGACCAGATTCTTTCGGAAATGAAAGATCAGAGAAACCAGAGTGTGTTAAAATGAGAAATGTGAACAACCACACTGCTGCAGTTTTCCCACTGTGTGTTTTCAGCTACAAAGAAGTCAAATGCAGTTGCTATACCTGGTGTGTATAGCAGTCTATTCAGGCACAGATATTATACTACATCTCTTTATGTAAGCTTTGCAGGTTAACTTTTATTGCTGTGGTTGGAATTTTTTGCTTGATGTATTGTTAGTGACTGTGAATAAGTACGAGATCTTCCAGTCTATATGCGTCCTTCTGTTTGTGGTATTTCACCCAAAAGCTGCACACCAGGCGGGCTATCAGAGACTTGTGGTAAAGCAGGATTAAATGAGATCATTTCAGATTTAACCAATGGTTTTTAGTGTTAAAAAAGTGGTCTTTTATTTATCAGGTTAGAGATCAACAAAATCACCGCCTACAGATCAGTCAGATCTCTGGAAATAGTGAAACCCCTGTACATGAATCATATGAGGGTCTAAAGTATTTGTCTTTTATCTTGGTAGTAACTTTATCCCTGTTTTTTTTCCTGCTGACTGCAAACCAAAAAATTGTGTTGCTCTATAAGCATTAATATATAATCCTAATCAATGATACTGATTTATACTTGCACACCTTATATCCAGTTTGCACAGAGTATATATTTAGGCTTGAATTTTTATTATTCTTTTTACTGTCTTTTAGAAAACAAAAAAGAAAACAAATAAAACAACAACAACAAAGCTGGAGCTGAAAGAATAAAAACATGCCTATTTATCTCTAAATATTGATTTAAGCAATTTGTCAGATTCTCTGATGATAGGGCTGTTCACTTGTAAAGTACAGCTGGTATTTTCCACCTCACTTCAAATAGGCTAAACTTTATTAATATGGTAGGGCTTACTGATATAGTAGAACCTTTCCAGCTTTACTGGAAATGCACACACATACTGTATTCATGAAGGGCTTTTAATGCCTTTCCCTTCACACACTCGCACTCTGCTGCTTTGTTTGAATTCCTTTCAGACTGTATTGTGTGTTTAACCTGTTCATACTTTTCTGAGATCTTCCTTTGTAAAAACTGCTGCTCTGCTGCCAGTAGACCCGTCCGTGCTTATGATTGGTTACATACTTCTGACTCTGCCTCTTTCACGTAGGAAACTATGGATTGACTTGTTGAGTTGATAGACACCTTCACATGACCTCTTAGCCTGATTTCTTATTTGTGAAGCCAAATATGGAAAAAAGAAAAAAAAATTGCTGAACTTGTTTCATAGTACAAAGTCCGGATAATTCAGTGAGATCTGATGGATATCCTAGTGAGGGTATACACTATACTCCCAAAAGTATTCACTCACCCATCCAAATCATTGAATTCACGTGTTCCAATTCTTGGTTGTAGGTGTGTAAAATCACGCACCTAGGCATACAGACTGCTTCTACAAATATTTGTGAAAGAATTCTAGTGTGGTAATGACCACGTCTCAGCTGTGAAGTGATTGAGCATATAAAATCACAGAGTGGGGTCAGCGGATGCGCATGTTGTGCAGAGGTTGACAACTTTCTGCAGAGTCAATCGCTATAGACCTCCAAAGTTCATATGGCCTTGAAATAAGCTCAAGAACAGTGCGCAGAGAGCTTCATGGATTGGTTTCCATGGCCAAACATTTGCATCCAAGCTTTACAGCACCAAGCACAACAGAAAGTGTCAGATGCAGTGGGGTAAAGCATGCCAGGACTGCACTCCAGAGCAGTGGAGATGTGTCCTCTGCACTGATGAATCGCGCTTCTTTCTCTGGAAATCTGATGGACGAGTCTGGGTTTGGTGGTTTCCAGGTAGACGGTACTTATTAGTCAGAATTCTGGTATGTTGTGGGGTTGTTTTTCAGGAGTTGGACTTGGCCCCTTTGTTTCAGTGAAAGAAACTCTCAATGCTTTAGCATACCAAAACAATTTGAACAACTTCATGCCCCCAACTTTGTGGGAAATGTTTGTGGATGTCCCCTTCCTTTTCCAACATGACTGCGCATCAGTACACAAAGCAAAGTCCATAGAGACACGAATGAGCAAGTTTGATGTGGAAGAATTTGACTGGCCAGCACAGAGTCCTGACCTCGACCTGACAGAACACTTTTAGGATACATTAGAGTTGAGAATGCGAGCCAGGACTTCTTGTCCAACATCAATATCTGACCTCACAAATGCACTTCTGGAAAAATAGTCAAAAATTCAAACACACTCCTGAAGCTGGTGGAAAGCCCTACATATATTAAACTCTATGAATTAAGCCTAGGATGTAATTTAAGTTCATATGTGTGTGAAGGCAGACAAGCAAATACTTTTGGAAGTATACCTTTAAATGAGCTTTGCTCAGAGAATGTAGTGGCATTTCTGGGTCTCATTTCCTTCTCATCTTTTTTTTGTGGTAGAATTTGAACTTGTGGATGCAGCAACGAACTGTGTTCACTAATGATGGTTTTTAGATGTGTTCCTAAGCCAGGTACTTTCATCTGCTCCATTATTTCCTGAGGGGTTGCCTCGACAGATGGATCCACATGTTTAATTTGGCACAGATTTTATGCTGGATGCCTTTTTTGATGTTACCCTACCATTTACACTTAATTTAGGACCGGCACCAGGAATACACAAGCTTGTGTCCTCCTGAGGGTGGATTTAGCATGTAAGGCAAATCTTTCAACCAGTGATTTCCACAACAGTCACATCTTCTTCTTTTTTTTTAATTCAGCAGCTTGTCCCAATTGTGTGCAGAGATTTCTCCAGATTCTCTGAAACTTTTCACAAGATTATGAACCCTAAATGTTGGAATCTCTATTACATAACCTGATAATATCATTCCTGAATATTCAAATAACTTCATAGTTACTTCTGAAAGACTCAGCCTACATGAGGTGCTGCATTATTCAAAGCCTAATCCACAACTCTTTTAGTACTATGTAGCATTTCCAGTCTTTTATTTACACCTCTCCTGACTTTTTCCTTTTCAAAAGCAATAATATTTTTCATTTCAACGTGTTTTTAAATGTAAATCATTGCATTTATGTCATGGTCCGGAGTCTGTGACTCCGTGTTTATGTTTAGTTTATTGGTATTCTGTGGTTTTGGGTACCTTGGGTGTTTATACTCTTCTGTTTCATGGTTCATGTTCTGTGTCCCCCAGTCTGTGTTACGTTGGTGTGTTATGTCATTACGTGTATGTGTTTCCTGTTTTACTTTGTAGGTCCGTGTCTGTTCTCAGTGTGTTCAGTTTACTTTTCCCCTGTCTCGTCAGGTCGGATTACTCCCAGCTGTGCCCTCCTTTTGTGTCTCATCTCCTCGTTATCCTTCTGTGTATTTTAACCTCGTGTCTGCCTCTGTTAGTTGCTGGTTTGTCTGCATTATTTCCCCGCCGCCATTCTGTGTTTATTCCGCCGGCTCCCTGGTCATTCTCCCTGCAAGGTACCCTCGTTCGTGTTCTGGTTTTGTGTTTAGTTTAGTTTTCCCAGTTTAGAGTTTTTACCATTCTGTTTCTCGCCACCCTTTTTTGTTGTACTTCTCCGGTTGTAAATAAAGCTCACCCTCCACTTAAGCAGTCTGCATCTTGAGTCCGTTATTAATCCACACGGCCTGCCTCGGCACCCCGTGACAATTTAGCTCTTATTAGAATCTCACCCAGCAATTTATTTGGAAGCTGGGTCATAAGTATACATATACTCCAGGCTATTTTACTTCTAAGATCATACTGAAATTAAATATTCAGGTAGGATAAAGTGATATTCAAAAGGTCAAAGGTGAACTTCATGGTGTCATAAATTTTAGCAAAAGCATATATATTTTTTTACCATTTTAGTCGCAGTATTTCAGGAACAGAAAGAGAGACTCTGGCCATATTTCAGCTTTGGTATGTTCCTGAAGTCAGATCTTTAATACCCCCCCTATTAAATTCCTTTAAAGTCTTCACTGCACATAGTATGAGTCGGCATGATGGGAAGGAGACAGGCAATTCTAGTTTCTCACACAGCTCCTGAAATCTGATTGTGGCCCTTGTTTCACCACTGAGGTGTTTTTATCATGGTGTGTGACACATTACAAACGACAACTCATTACTGAAATCCTGTTGTCCCACTTGCTAATCTCTTGTGTTTTCAATGCAGTAAAAAAAAAGATAAGGAAGTTGGATTCTTTCATGTGAAAGCAGTGACAATTCAGACCAGCTGAAGTCTTTCACAAATATGTCAACAGTATCTTATGATTCCAGGGCTGATTCTTTGCATGCAAAATGCAACCTTTTTTTCATTTCCAAGAAGGAAGCCACGTCCACTTTCTGCACAGCAGTCATACAGTGTAGTTAAATGTTCTTCCTGGACA